AATTTTCTCTTATATTTATTGCCTTGAAGAATTCGTATAAAATTAAGGTGATATATTTCTTCAAAATTTTTGTAGAATTGACCTGTATATCCATGTAGGCCTGGTATTTTCTTTGTGAGAATGTTTTAAAATAGTGCTTCAGTTCAATAGTTAAGGGACTATTGTGGTTCTTTATTTTTTCTTGAGTTTGTTCTGGTAAGATGTATTTTTTAAAAAGATTTCTTCATTTCAGCTTAAATTTTCAAAATCATTTCATATAGTGGTTATTAATAGTCTTTTGTTTTTAATCTTATTTTATTTTCAGTTATATTTCTGATTCCTAGATTTCTCACTTGCATGTTTGTGTGTGGTTTTATGTATTATATTAGCCTACCACTCTTTATTATTTCATACTTTTATTAGGGTAGGAACCTGGCTGATCTTGTTTCTCCTTTTTGCCACCTTCAGTCCTTCCTGTAAATTGACTTAAACTGAATCTTTCTGAACCACTGTTTTGATTATTTTATTTCTGTATTCAAAATGTCTTACTCTTTGGGTAAACTCCTAATTCCTCAAGGCCAGTGACTTAACAAGGTAAAGAATAACCCCTACTGTGACTATAACCACACTAGTACAAATGACCAATGTGCTCATTGTCTCTTGAACAAGCACATCAAACATCTTAATTTGTTCTTTTGTTCAAACTGTTCTCACTTTTTAAAATGAATTTACTTCTCTATTCTCTAGCTCCTACCAAGCTTTCAAACCCCTATTAAAATTTCACATTCGTAAAAAAAGTTCTCTGATACTCCAGTATAAAATGATTTTTTTCCTTTACTATTTTATTTTTCTGGTGTTCATCCCTTTTTTCTGTGTATCTTTCTTTATAGAGTCTTCATGAGCAAAACATTTATATTTTTTTTCAGTATCACTTTCTTGTGGGAAAGCTACTGTTACAATCTCAAACTTTTTCCTTGACTATTAAAAAAATTAAAAATTTATGAATTTGTATTGCAGTAGCTATGACTCAATGAAGATTGACAATATTTTTTTTGTGTTTAACTTAAAATATATATATATTTTGTATACTTTAAGTTCTGGGATACATGTGCAGAATGTGCAGGTTTGTTACACAGGTATACATGTGCCATGGTGGTTTACTGCACTCATCAACCCATCATCTACATTAGGTATTTCTCCTAATGCTATCCCTCCCCTAGCCCCCCACCTGCCTCCCTGTGCCCATATGTTCTCATTGTTCAACTCCCACTTACGAGTGAGAACATGCGGTGTTTGGTTTTCTATTCCTCAGTGTTCTCACTGAGTGGTTCGCACTCAGTGGTCCTCAGTGTTCAACTCCCACTTACGAGTGAGAACATGCAGTGTTTGGTTTTCTATTCCTGTGTTAGTTTAGTGAGAATTCCTGTGTTAGTTTACTGAGAATGATGGTTTCCAGCTTCCTCCATGTCCGCACAAAGGACATGAACTCATCCTTTTTTATGGCTGCATAGTAGTCCATGGTATGTAAGTGGTCTAACATTGATGGACATTTGGGTTGGTTCCAAGTCTTTGCTATTGTGAATAGTGCTGCAATAAACATATGTGTGCATGTGTCTTTATAGTAATGATTTGTAATGCTTTGGGTATATACTCAGTAATGGGATTGGTGAGTCAAATGGTATTTCTAGTTCCAGATCCTTGAGGAATTGCCACACTGTCTTCCACAATGGTTGAAGTAATTTACACTCCCACCAACAATGTAAAAGCTTTCCTATTTCTCCACATCCTCTACAGTATCTGTTGTTTCCTGACTTTTTAAATGATCACCATTCTAACTGGCGTGAGATGGTATCTCATTGTGGTTTTGATTTGCATGTCTCTAATGACCAGTGATGATGAGCTTTCTTTCATATGTTTGTTGGCCACATAAATGTCTTCTTTTGAAAAGTGTCTGTTCATATACTTCGTCCACTTTCTGATGGGGTTGTTTTTTTCTTCTACGTTTGTTTTTAAGTTCCTTGTATATTCTGGATATTAGCCCTTTTTCAGATGGATAGATTGCAAAAATTTTCTTCCATTCTGTAGGTTGCCCATTCACTCCAATGATAGTTTCTTTTGCTGTGCAGAAGCTCTTCAGTTTAATTGGATCCCCATTTGTCAATTTTGTTTTTTGCTGCAATTGCTTTTGGTGTTTTAGTCGTGAAGTCTGCCCATGCCTATGTCCTGAATGGTATTGCCTAGGTTTTCTTCTAGGGTTTTTATGGTTTTAGGTCTTGCTCTTAAAATTTTAATCCGTCTTGAGTTAATTTTTGTATGTGGTGTAAGGAAGGGGTCCAGTTTCAGTTTTCTGCATATGGCTAGCCAGCTTTCCCAACATAATTTATTAAATAGGGAATCCTTTCCCCTTGCTTGTTTTTTGATTGACTATAATCTATATAGGCAGTACTTTAGGCTATTTTTGTATTATCCCTCCAGACATCTACTCTTCTTTTGTATAAGCTTTGAAAAGAAATTATTCTCTAGTCTGGGGATTACAAAATCAAATGCCTTCAATATCAGGTTGTCATCATGAATGTGTGAATTGGATTGTGTGTAAGAAATAGGGAGTAGAAGTGTCCTGATTAACTAAAGACTATATATCCTGGCAAAGGAATTCAAACCAAACTCTTAAGGTTCTGGGTCAGTCCTCCTTGAGACCCTGTGCTCTAGCCTCATTTCTATTGAACTCTACTGCTTTATTTTAAAATATCTTAAAAGCGAGAGTTAAAGTAGGACACTTAGGATAAGCTAAAGATTTTTAAAGTTGAGAACTACCTAAATAGTTCATACTGCAATAGATTTTTTGTGACATGAGTTAAAGTTCTTTCAAATAGAACTTTATTTGACTATATATGATTATTTTTATGTGAGATTTATGAGGACAAGGACCACATCTTTCTTATTCACTATTCAGTATTTATTACAATGTCTGGCACATAGTAGTTGCTCAGTAAGTATTATTTGAACGAATGAATGAATGGCTATGCACTTTAAAATTTTTTTTTCTGTTTTTTATTAATTTTGTACTATGTATAGCATAACCACTTGATGGCACTAAACTCATTTTAAAACTTGAAGACAATATTCTCATACCCTTGTACATTGTAACTTTTCTTCTCACACACACATACAAAATGAGCTTTAATATATCATGGGCAGTGTAAATTATTATTGACATCAAAAAACCTAGTAACCACAAGAATTTTTTCTACTTCTTAAAATCCTAAAATAATGGATTACAGATTCGAAGCCCTTAGATTATAGAAATGTTTGATAATATTTTTTGCTGTAGCCTGACTGCCTAGTTTAGCATTGGGCATATATTATATCTTTAAGGTGCCTCGATTTTGAAAGAATGTGTTAACAAGTATAAATTGTAACTTCTAACTTTTCTCCTCCCACTCTGCTATCCTCAGATAATTTCACCTTAGATAATTTTGACCTAAGATAAGGGAGTACTAAGTGTTACAGTGTTTTAGTTAACCACATTTATGAAGTCCTCTTTCATCATTAAAGTTTTCATCCAAATTTACTAAAAAACTGTGATTCAGGTCAAAATATTTACTCGTATAAGTCAGCAGCAATGTTAATTGGATTCTGGATCTATTACTACTTTTTCCTAATTTATCAATTTTAAGACAGTTTTGAATACAAAATGCTTAAAGAGAAGAATTATAGAAGCATGGTGATGTTATTATAGTTATTGAGAAGTAGGAGTACGAGACTGTTCTGTAATGGAGAGTACAGTCTTATCAAGGAATTTCTCAAATATACTTTAGTCAGCAGTTCAGGAACTGGTAGATAGTCATAAGACCTTAAAAATCTCTACCAACATGAGAAATAGAGAACTATGAGAATTAAAGAAGGAAAATAACTGAATTTTTTTCTTCTGAAATCAGGCAGGATAAAAATAGATAATTTACTAAAATGTAAAATCATAAGCTAATTAGCATTATTGGAAAGATTAATTACAATATAGTAGCATAATACTGTAGTAGGACTAAGCTGTAATTTAAAAAATTATTCAGCTCTATGATTAACCTTGCTGGTGTTCACACTGATCATCTGAGGTTCTTTCCAGCTTCATGATCAGTACTGTAACAGGTGCTTAGGCAGTGTGGAAGAAACTGCTGTTCATAAAGTGGTTTATAATCTTGTTGGAGAGACCACATGTATGTGCAGAGACAGCCTAGCATGATGGCTACGTACACAAATTCTAGAACCAGATTGGCTGTGTGCCCCTGGGCACTTAACTTCTTTGCCTCAGCTTCTACAAATTTAAAATGAAGATGATAATATTACTCCTTCTTCATAAGTCATTGAGAGGATTAAAAGAAATAATACATGTGAAGTGCCTAGAAAAGTAACTGGCACATAGTAAATGCTATCTAAATGTTTTTTCCTTTGGCTAGAATGTAAGGTCCAGATAATTTGTTAAATGAACAATTAACAGCTAGATGATAGCAATGTAAAGACTGTACATGATTGAGTGAAAAAAATATGTGGACATTATATACCCTGTTTGGGAATTCAAATGAGGGTAGAAACTAATGTGAGTTGTTTCAGAATTTCTCTAAAATCACATAGGTGACTTGAAGCTTATGCTCAGTAGTAAAATACGAATTGAATTTGAATAGGTAGAAATGAGTCTAGGAGGAAATGAATACAAGAGGAGGACAAGCTCTGTTGGCTTAATCAGCTATGTTTTCTATCAGGATGATTGGTTTTGTTACCCTAACGGGATTGTTTTTGGTAATGAGTTCATTGAGTTCATTTGGTTTCCTAGAATCTTCAACTCCAGAATTGCAGCAAATTTCTGAAAATAGATTAAGATAGACATTAAACATATTTATTCTGTTTATGCTGAGACTTTATAAAATATAATTTGAAAACTGTTCATGTTTTGGGATCATTGTCACCGGTTAAAAACCATTTTTTATTTTTTTTAAACACATTGATATCTTCACTTTTATATTTTCTAGGTAATTAATAATGCTTGTGCTACTCAAGCCATAGTGAGTGTGTTACTGAACTGTACCCACCAGGATGTCCATTTAGGCGAGACATTATCAGAGTTTAAAGAATTTTCACAAAGTTTTGATGCAGCTGTGAGTACAACCTTCTTATTCCTAAAATGTCATATTTGTGAAAGTTTGTGTATTAATAGGCTACTTTAAAAAATTATTTTAGATGAAAGGCTTGGCACTGAGCAATTCAGATGTGATTCGACAAGTACACAACAGTTTCGCCAGGTAAAGAGACTTTATGTTAAATAAATACTGTTTCTTTCTTTGCTTCTTTGAGTCTCACTATTTTTTTATTTACTATAGACAGCAAATGTTTGAATTTGATACGAAGACATCAGCAAAAGAAGAAGATGCTTTTCATTTTGTCAGTTATGTTCCTGTTAATGGAAGACTGTATGAATTAGATGGATTAAGAGAAGGACCGATTGATTTAGGTAATGCAGTTCCTGTCCCTGATGTTTCACTTTTGACAGAGGAAAATCTGTTGGGTATTCACCCTCATTTTAGTCACAGTGCTGCTTAAATTTTCAAGGTAAAAGTGACTATGAGACAACATAAAATAATGAAGGCCTTAAGCTCTTCAGTATGTTGTATTAATATACAGGAAGGACATGCTGACTACCATAGTTCAGTTGAGGCCTTTGAGTTTTTCCCAAGTAAAATTAGTTTTTAACCTATAGGTTACATAATTTATATTTTATTTTCCATTTAGCATTTAAAAACTACCCTTAGTGAACTTAAATAGTTATTCTTGTCATTTTTAACCCATTCATAAAGGATAGCAAACATTTCTTGTCATCTATATTGAAGTATTTTCATTTGGAAGTGTATAATTTATTGTTTTGCAATCAAGAAAATATTTTTCTTAAAAGTTCTCTATTTAAATAGTGCATGAATGTGTTATCCTTTGTGCCAAAGCATAGATTTGTTCTGATCCCACCCCATCTCTAATGCTGAGCAAAAAATGATAAACACTTATCAAGGTTGAGGGTACAATCTGTGGCTCTGAAAGATTACTGAAATAATAGGTTCACAAAATAATTTTAACTCCTTATTTTGACTTCATTAAATTTTGTTTTTCTTTTTTAATATTAGATTTGAAGTCCAATACAACTTGTTTTAGTTGAATCTAATGTTACAGGCTATTCATAAAACTGTTCGATTTTAAAACTGTTTTAGATTTTAAAAAAATTAACATGGGTTCATTTTTTTTGTACTTTTTGCCATTCCACATGCATGGAACCAGTTAATAGTTTATCTAATGCAGATTTACATGCTGCCTCTATATTTAAAAATGCTTACTTTTCTATGTCTGTTATAAAAATTTATTTATGGAATTGAAACAACATAATTATACTAAGAAGAGTTTTACTGCTCTAAATTTGTTAAAATATTTGTAGAAAAATATTTGGGGCCAAACTTTTGCATGTTAAAGTTGATTGTTCTTATTTTTATTTGTGTTAACTGTTTTAAAATTTCTTTCTAGGTGCATGCAATCAAGATGATTGGATCAGTGCAGTAAGGCCTGTCATAGAAAAAAGGATACAAAAGTAAATGCTCAGCTAATCTTATTGGCATAATATTCTGTTTTTTAAGTATTTTTTAAACTTGTATTTTATTGTTATTTTAGCAGTGTGCATTGAACATCTACTTTTTTTTTTTTTTTTTTAATTTTTTGTAGAGACGGGTTTTCACCATGTTGCCCAGGCTGGTCTCAGACTCCTGAGCTCAAGCCATCCGCATGCCTCGACCTCCCAAAGTGGTAGGATTACAGGCGTGAGCCACTGTGCCCAGCCAAACATCTACTTTTGATTGGGTTAATACGTTTAAGAAGTCTATTTCAGAAAATCTCTAAATTTCATGTAGTAGTATGTCATCTTGTCTTTAGAGAAGTTAAACATGCAGATTTCCATTAAGTTAAATAATTATTTATTTATTTTTTTTATTTTTTGAGACAGTATCTCACTCGGTTGCCCAGGCTGGAGGGCAGTGGTGCAATCTCGGCTTACTGCAACCTCTGCCTCCCGGGTTCAAGCGATTCTCGTGTCTCAGCATCCCGAGTAGCTGGGATTATGGGCACATGCCACCACACCCAGCTAATTTTTGTATTTTCAGTAGAGATGGGGTTTCACCATGTTGTCCAGGCTTGTCTCAAACTCCTGACCTCAAGTGATCTGCCAGCCTTGGCCTCCCAAAGTGCTGGGATTACAGGCATGAGCCACTGTGCCCGGCTAGATATTTTGTACTGTTGGATAATTGTACAGCTATTTTGTAGAGTTTTGTTTTTGAGGGTTTATTTTTAATATTAAGCTCTTTATTTTTGGGTAATTATATATTCAATTTCAGATAATTATATACATTCAGTTGTAAGAAATAATACAGAGACATCATGTGTATTTTTTATCTTTCAATGGCAACATCTTGCAAAACTATAGTGTAATATCACAGCCAAGATACTGGCATTGATGTAGTCAAGATACAGCAAAATTTGCTCTCCACAAAGATCCCTTATGTTGTTCTTTTTAGGCACAAACACTTGTCTCCCCTACTGCCTTTCCCTTTCCTTCACTCCTTAATCCCTAATTCTATAATTTTTGTGATTTAAAGAAAGCTATATATGAATTTTACAATATGTAACCTTTTTGCCTTAGCTTTTTCACTCGGTTTAATTCTGGAGATTCATCCAAGTTATTAAGTGTATCAGTAGTTCATTTTTTATTCGTAAATGGTATTCTGTGATATGGATATACCATTTTTTTTGCCTGTTCATCCATTGAAGGACGTCTGGATTGTTTTCTATTTTTTGGCTACTGCGAATAAAACTACAATAAATGTTTTTGTACAGATTTTTTGTGACTACAGGTTTTCATTTCTCTGGGATAAATGCCTATGAGTGTCATTGCTGGGTTGCATGGTAAATGGGTATTTATTTTTTTAAGCAACTACCAAACTCTTTTCCAGAGTGACTGTATCATTTTATATTTTACCAGCGATATATTAATGGTCTAGTTCCTCTGCATCCTTTTTAGGATTTGGTGTTATCACCATTTTTATTTTAACCATTCTGACAGATGTATAGTGATACTTCATTGTGGTTTTAATCTGCATTTCCCCAATGACTAATGACGTTGAAAATCTTTTTGTGCCTTTAGCTCATTTTCTGATTGGATTGTTTTTTTGACTCTTGAGCCTGAAGTTCTTTACGTAATTTAGATACTAATCCTTCATCAAACACATTGCCTGCAAATATTCTTTCCCAGTCTGTAGCCCATCCCCTCGTACTCCCAAAATGGTCTTTCACAGAGCAAAAGGTCTTAATCATGATGAAGTACAGTTTATCAATATTTCACACAATGAATTGTGTTTTTGTTGTCAGGTCTAAGAATTCTTTGTCTCGATGTAGAGACCATATATTTTTTTCCTGTGTTATTTTCTTAAAAGTTTATAGTTTAATGTTTTACATGTAAGTGTATGATGTATTTTGAGTTAATTTTTGTATATGGTATGACATTTAGGTCAAGGGTCATTTTTTTTTTTTTTTTTTTTTTTTGCCTATACATATTCAATTACTCAGGCACCAGTGGTTGAAAAGGCTATCCTTCCTCCACTGAATTCCTCCTGCACCTTTGCAAAAATGGAGCATATTTGTGTGGGTCTATTTCTGGGCTCACTGTTCTATCCATTGTTCCATTTATCTGTTCCTCTGCCGGTACTACACTTTGTAGATTACTGTAACTGTAAGTCTTGAAATTAGGTAGATGGATGCCTTTCATTGTTTTCTTGTTTACAAAATTGTTTTAACTATTATAGATCCTCTGCCTTCCCATATAAATTTTATTATAATCTCTATATCTATAAAAGTAAGACTTTGGATCTTTTGTTTTTTTTTCATACTTTAAGTTCTAGGGTACATATGCACAACATGCAGGTTTGTTAGATATGTATACATGTTCCATGTTGGTGTGCTGCACCCATTAATTCGTCATTTACATTAGGTATATCTCCTAATGCTATCCCTACTCCCTACCCCATCCCCACAATAGGCCCTGGTGTGTGATGTTCCCCTTCCTGTGTCCAAGCAATCTCATTGTTCAGTTCCCACCTATGAGTGAGAACATGCGGTATTTGGTTTTCTGTTCTTGCGATAGTTTGCTGAGAATGATGGTTTCCAGCTGCATCCATGTCCCTACAAAGGACACAAGCTCATCCTTTTTTATGGCTGCATAGTATTCCATGGTGTATATGTGCCACATTTTCTTAATCCAGTCTGTCACTGATGGACATTTGGGTTGATTCCACGTCTTTGCTATTGTGAATAGTGCTGCAATAAACATATGTGTGCATGTGTCTTTATAGCAGCATGATTTGTAATCCTTTGGGTATATCCCCAGTAATGGGATGGCTGGGTCAAATTGTATTTCTAGTTCTAGATCCTTGAGGAATTGCCACACTGTCTTCCACAATGGTTGAACTAGTTTACAGTCCCACCAACAGTGTAAAAGTGTTCCTGTTTCTCTATATCCTCTCCAGCACCTGTTGTTTCCTGACATTTTAATGATTGCCATTCTAACTGGTGTGAGATGGTATCTCATTGTGGTTTTGATTTGCATTTCTCTGATGGCCAGTGATGATGAGCATTTTTTCATGTGTCTGTTGGCTGTATGAATGTCTTTTGAGAAGTGTCTGTTCATATCCTTTGCCCACTTTTTGATGGGGTTGTTTTTTTCTTGTAAATTTGTTTGAGTTCTTTGTAGGTTCTGGATATTAGCCCTTTGTCAGATGAGTAGATTGCAAAAATTTTCTCCCATTCTGTAGGTTGCCTGTTCACTCTGATAATAGTTTCTTTTGCTGTGCAGAAGCCCTTTAGTTTAATTAGATCCCATTTGTCAATTTTGGCTTCTGTTGCCATTGCTTTTGGTGTTTTAGACATGAAGTCCTTGTCCAGGCCTATGTGCTGAATGGTATTACCTAGGTTTTCTTCTAGGGTTTTTATGGTTTTAGGTCTAACATTTAAGTCTCTGATCCATCTTGAATTAATTTTCGTATAAGGAGTAAGAAAAGGATCCAGTTTCAGCTTTCTACTTATGGCTAGCCAGTTTTCCCAGCACCATTTATTAAATGGGGAATCCTTTCCCCGTTTCTTATTTTTGTCAGGTCTGTCTAAGATCAGATAGATGGCTGTAGATGTGTGGTATTATGTCTGAGGGCTCTGTTCTGTTCCATTGGTCTATATCTCTGTTTTAGTACCACTACCATGCTGTTTTGGTTACAATAGCCTTGTAGTATAGTTTGAAGTCAGGTAGCGTGATGCCTCCAACTTTGTTCTTTTGGCTTAGGATTGTCTTGGCAATGCGGGGTCTTTTTTGGTTCCATATGAACTTTAAAGCAGTTTTTTCCAATTCTGTGAAGAAAGTCATTGGTAGCTTAATGGGGATGGCATTGAATCTATAAATTACCTTGGGCAGCATGGCCATTTTCACAATATTGATTCTTCCTATCCATGAGCATGGTATGTTCTTCCATTTGTTTGTGTCGTCTTTGATTTCACTGAGCAGTGGTTTGTAGTTCTCCTTGAAGAGGTCCTTTACATCCCTTGTAAGTTGGATTCCTAGGTATTTTATTCTCTTTGAAGCTATTGTGAATGGGAGTTCATTCACGATTTGGCTCTCTGTTTGTCTGTTACTTGTGTATAAGAATGCTTGTGATTTTTGCACATTGATTTTGTATCCTGAGACTTTGCTGAAGTTGCTTATCAGCTTAAGGAGATTTTAGGCTGAGACGATGGGGTTTTCTAAATATACAATCATGTCATCTGCAAACAGGGACAATTTGACTTCTTCTTTTCCTAACTGAATACCCTTTATTTCTTTCTCTTGCCTGATTGCCCTAGCCAGAACTTCCAACACTATATTGAGTAAAAGTGGTAAGAGAGGGCATCCCTGTCTTGTGCCAGTTTTCAAAGGGAATGCTTCCAGTTTTTGCCCATTCAGTATGATATTGGCTGTGTGTTTGTCATAAATAGCTCTTATTATTTTGAGATACGTTCCGTCAATACCGAATTTGTTGAGAATTTTTAGCATGAAGGGCTGTTGAATTTTGTCAGAGGCCTTTTCTGCATCTATTGAGATAATCATGTGGTTTTTGTCTTTGGTTCTGTTTATGTGCTGGATTACGTTTATTGATTTGCATATGTTGAACCAGCCTTGCATCCCAGGGATGAAGCCCACTGGATCATGGTGGATAAGCTTTTTGATGTGCTGCTAGATTCGGTTTGCCAGTATTTTATTGAGTATTTTTGTGTCGCTGTTCATCAGGGATATTGGTCTAAAATTCTTTTTTTTTTTATTGTGTCTCTGCCAGGCTTTGGTATCAGGATGATGTTGGCCTCATAAAATGAGTTAGGGAGGATTCCCTATTTTTCTATTGATTGGAATAGTTTCAGAAGGAATGGTACCAGCTCTTCCTTGTACCTTGGTAGAATTTGGCTGTGAATCCATGTGGTCCTGGACTTTTTTTGGTTGGTAGGCTATTGATTATTGCCTCAATTTCAGAGCCTGCTATTGGTCTATTCAGGGATTCAACTTCTTCCTGGTTTAGTCTTGGGAGAGTGTAGGTGTCCCGGAAATTATCCATTTCTTCTAGGTTTTCTAGTTTATTTGCGTAGAGGTGTTTATAGTATTCTCTGATGGTAGTTTGTATTTCTGTGGGGTTGGTGGTGATATCCCCTTATCGTTTTTATTGTGTCTATTTGATTCTTCTCTC